AAAGGCCTTGAAGAAAAGATGGAAAAGATGAAGGAAGACAAGCATAAATCAGCACAAGAGATGGTTAATCTGACTGTAATGCAGATGAAAGCAGAAAATTTTAAAAAGTTAGACTTTGTAGGATTGAATTACAGCCTTGACTGTTAAATCCCAACAGACAGAAACATTGAACAAAGCTAATACAGAGAGATACATCATCAATCAAAAAGAATAACAGAATTGGGAAAAAAGATGGTTGGATTGCAGCATCAAAATTGCAGAGACAATCTTCATTGATGACGTGTTCCAAAATGAGCATTTACAGAAGAGAGACAAATCAGAAATGATGTGCTCGAATACCTTTAAAAAATGCTCTCAGATGACAAATGGGAACATAAAGTTACAGAAAGATCCAAAAGTGGATCTAGAATGTTCCCTAGAGATGTAGTGATCAGGTTTGCTACTTATGATAAGAAAGAGCAACTTATGAGAAAACTGAGTTAAGTCAGGGCAACTGAAATTCAAAGAGGCCTCTATTCAAGTGTACCAAACTCTTTGTTAGCAGACTACTTTGTTATGGCTTGTTGACCATAATCAAGATAATTTTTTAAAAGAATATCAGATGCAATTGGCGTTACCCAGTACATATGAGAGTTTTTTACAATGGGAAATATAATAGAATTGACTGTCCGGGTCAAGGCTTAAATCTGCTTTTTGAATGGGGCTTCATAGATGTGGATCACTGGAAACAAGAATTAGCAAAATTGATTAAGACAAAGACTGAGAAACAGCATCAGAAGGAGACAATCAAGGAGGTAAAGATGATGATGTTGGAGTTATTGGTGGACATTCCCTGACTCGAAATCTTAGCCTAACAGAAGAGACATTCAAATGGAGAGAAGAACAGGGGGTCAAGAAGAAGGGGGGGGGTGAATGGAGGGAGGAGATGGAAGGGTTGGGAATGAAAATGTTCAAGATAATAATTGGCTTAAATAGTTATCATTCTATACTATCTTTCTTCATGTCCATATATGTGCGGGTACCCCTCTTGTGAAAGTCAAAAAATACAAAGTTTAATATATTTGAACAGGGAGTACTTTGAATTTAGCAATAAGAATTCAAGGTTCTTGGCCAATTCTGCACAACAAAAGAAACTTTAAAATTCAATTGGAATAGTTAGGGATGAAAATGGGGGAAAGTATAATTTAACAAGAGATAAATTAAGAATATCTTATATTTTTTCCTTAGTTATATATAGGTGGAGAATCATGATTAGACAATGATATAATGTGGAGGGAATTACAACTGATGGATATAGACCTAGTGAAACAAACATTTAAAGATGAAGAAATTAATTATTAATAAGTTGAAAATAGGGAAATAGGACAGATGGATTAGGACCAGAATTCTATAAAGTTTTTTAAAAGTTTCGAGCTTTGGGATAGATCAATGAACTGTCCGATGGACTAGGGCATGGTTGAAGGGTCATAAGCAGAGGGTGACTAGCAATGGAAAATCATCAGGATGGCAGTGGGTGATGAGAGGAGTCTCCCAGGGCTCAGTTCAGGAACCAATTCTGTTCAACCTCTTTATTAATTTATTATTAATTATTAATTGAGGAGGAGGAGTCTGATGACCAGATTCACAGACAATCACCTGAGGAACAGGTGATCCAGAACCAAAAAGATCTGCACAGACTGTGGAAGTGGGTGGGGGGCAACAGGATGGTGTTCAATGTGGGTAAGTGCAAGGTCTTGCAGCTGGAGAGCATCACTTGTGAAAGGGATATCAGAATACTTGTCAACAGCACGTTAAACATGAGCCAGCAGTTTGATGTGGTGATTAAGAAGGCGAATTACATCCTTGGATGTATAGCCAGAAGCATGACTTCCAGATCAAGAGAGGTGTGAATACTGCTCTACCTGACTCTGGTGCACCCACAACTGCAGTACTATGTCCAATTCTGGACTGCAGATTATAAGAGAGACATAGCTAGGTTAGGACCAGTTCAACAAAGGATCACAAGGATGGTAGCCAGATTGAGGAGGATGCCATATGAGATGAGATTGAGGGAACTGGGTCTTTTCAGCTTGGAAAAGAGGAAATTCAGAGGGGATCTTATAGGTATGTGAAGGGGTGTCACATGGGAAAGGGTTGTGACTCGTAAGGAATCAAGTTTCTGGTCAGATGCCAGGAAGTACTTTGTTATGGTTAGGATCCCTAGGATATGGAATGGGCTTCCAAGGTTGAGGCCCCAACAGTGAAGGTGTTCAAGGAAAGATTGGACAATCAAATGTTGGGTATTACATGAACTGAGCTGGCTGGAGCCAGGGGTTAGACCAGATGGCCCAGGAGGCCCCTTGTGACTTGCTATGTTTCTATGAATGTTACATATTGATATAAGCCTTCTGAATATAAAAGAATGACCAGAATGTAGCAAATCTCTTTTACCAAAAAACTGCTGATCTTGCTGTACCTTTTAAAAAGTAATCCATGATGACCTGAGGGAAGGTTTTACGCTTTGTTGTATAAACCTGAAAAATGAAATATGCTACAAATTTGTTTTCAATACAAACTGTAAACCATGTGTACATCCTATAGGCTATTCAGGACCACCAGGGAAACCTGGAATAACTGCACCACCTGGAACCAAAGGAGAAATGGGAGAAACAGGCATGATTGGTGAAGATGGTCCAAAAGGTCTTAAAGGTTATCAGGGTGCAGATGGAAGACCTGGCATACCAGGTTTGCCTGGAGCAAAAGGTAAGATGGCAAATTCTAGCATTGAGAGCTACTAATTTAAACTATGCAGACAGATATTAAAGAATATACATCACTGTTTTGCCTTGAAGGATATAAAGGTGAACAAGGAGTCATGGGCTTTTTTGGCATAGTAGGAGTTCGTGGTAACATTGGCCCCACTGGCCCCAAAGGAGACAGAGGGGCTACAGGTGAGTAAAGATGTATTCATCCATTTATGTACTGTATTTATATCCCAGTTTTTCCCTTCAAGGAACTTAAGGCAGCTTACATAATTCTCCTCCTCTCAGTCTTATCCTCACAACAAGTTAATTCATTGTTTATGAAGCAACCGCCTTCAATAGCTGCTGTATTTAAGCTAAAGTGTAGGCCTCCAAAACCCACTGGTGGCTGTATACTTTTCTAGAGTGAAGAATACCCATTGTGAAAGTCAGGAGATAAGGGAGTTCATTACCATGAATTTCTATTCTCTGAGTCCCAGAGAAGTCATTTAGTCCAGACCACTTCCATTTCTAGGACCAGCTGGCTTTTTGCTCTGCTGTACATGATGTAGAGTGATAATCAGGGATTCCTTGGGATAGTTTCATAGAATCTTAGAACAGAAGAGATAGAAGGAGCCAGAGAACATCAGATCCAGTGCTGTGCTATTGCAGGACTCCAAGTAAACCATCCCTCTCAGACAGCTGTCCAGTTGCATTTTGATTGCTTCCACTGTGGAAGAGCCCACAACCTTCCTAGGTCATTGGTTCCATTGTCATGCTGCTCTAACAGTCAGGAGGTTCTGCCTGATGTTCAGCCAAAACCTGCACTCTAGGATGGCCAAGAAAAGATTCTAGCTTCCTTTTTGTGATAGCCTTTCAAGTTCTTGTAGAGTGCTATCATACCTCCCCTCATTCTTCTCTTCTTGAAGCTAAATATGCCCAGTTGTTTCAATCTCTCTTCACAGGGCTTTGTTTCCATTCCCTGCATCATCCTCGTTGCACCCTTCTGAACCCTTTCCAGCTTCTCTGCATTTTTTTAAACTGTGGTGCCTAGAAGTAGGAACGGTACTCTAGATGGGGCCTAACCAGTGCTAGTTCATGTGATTTGAAAATGGTACTATCACTGCTGCCAACTAACTTATACCCAGCTTGTAATCCACAACAATTCCAAGAATCTTCTCATTTGCACTATTGCTGAGCCGAGTATTCCCCATCTTCTAATGATACATTTGGTTTCTTTTTCCTAGGTGCAGAACTTTGCATTTTTGTCCTGATCAAATTGAATTCTATAGTTTTCAGCCCAGTGCTCCAAACTATCAATATCACCTTGAATCTTAGAGTATTAGCTATCCCACCCAGTTATGCATCCTCTCTAAATCTGATAATAGTTCCCTGTACTTCTTCATCCAAATAATAAAAATGTTGAGGAACACTGAGCTCAGGACTGTACCCTGTGGTACTCCACTTGTCACCTCTCCCCAGTTTGAGATGGTGCCATTGATAAGCACTCTTTGAGTGCAATTCCATAGCCAACTGTGGATCCACCTGATAGTAGTCCCATTTAGCCCACTATTCTAGTTTGTTAATCAGGACATCATGGGACACTTGCTGAAGTCACGATATTATGTCCACAGCATTCCCACAGTTCACTAGGGAGGTTACCCAATTACACAATGAAATCAGATTAGTCTGGTAAAGTTTTTGTTCTTAACAAACCCATGTTGACTTCTTCTAATCACAGCATTGTTTTCAAGCTATATTCAGACCGACTGCTTTATAATCCATTCCAGAATTTCCCCAGAAATTTATGTCACACTGACTTGTCTATAGTTTCCAGGTTTTTCTTTTTTCCCTTTCTTAAAACAGGGACAACATTAATCCTTCTCCAATCATCTGGCACTTCTTCTGTCCTCCATGATTTCTCAAAGATAATATTGTGCTTCCCTTTTCATCAGGAAGGTCATAGATCTTCTTTTGGAAGAAGACAGAGCCAAAGTAGAAATTGAGCACTTCTTCCTTTTCTTTGTCATCTGTTATCATTGTTCCATCCACATTGAGTAGTTGAACTCCCTTCTCCTTCACCTGTCTTTTGCTTTGGAGAAGAAGAAGAAGGCTTTTTTGTTGCCTTTAGCTCCCCTCACTCATTTTGCCATCTACATTGCATAGTTGAACCCCCATTTTGTTCCTCTGTCTTTTACTATGAACATATGTGAAAAAAGGCTTTTTTGTTGCTTTTAGCATCCATAGCTAGCATCAGTTCATTCTAGCTTTAACCTTCCTAGCACCATCCCTGCAATTCCTAGCACCATCCCTACCTGCCCATATTCTTTCCTTGTCATCTAGCCTTCCTTCCACTCTGTATACATGTCCTTTTTTGTTTTCAGATAATCTCTAAACTTCGTGGGAAGCCACATGGGTTGTCTTCTATCATTTTTCTTTGTTGAAACTGTATTTAGAATTTCTTTTTCTTTTTTTTACTTCCCATCCATTTTCGACTCCTTTTCTCATCAGAGTCACTTGCCATGGGACTTTGTTTATCATTGTTCTGTATTTATTAAAATTGGCTTTCCTACAATCCAGGGTACATGTCTGGCTACATTTGGCTTTTGGTTCCCTTACAATCAGAACTCAA